ACTTCTGAAACAAAATATGTTTCTCATCAATTCAAGAATATTTATCTTCAGATTCAGTTTTTTAACATTTATAATGGCTAATATATTAAATTTTATAACCGTATCTCTCTTGTTCTCATTAGAAGTAGTGTTCCTAATAAGAGCAGACTATGACAAATACATGGAAAATCAACTTTTATCAGTAAATGAACTTTTTTTTATGTCCGAACTTGGAAAGTTTTTTGTACATCCGCCACAAAAAATGTTCCCCGATTGATGATCGATAAACTTTCAGTGGTTCAAAGCAAATAGAGTTTTCTTTTTTATCAAGGACATAAATTTGAAATTTTTGTATCATAATTAAATAAAATGTTAGTTGAACGATGAAAACTTAGTGGTAAATTAAATATCAATTGAAAATATGAAATTTCGTGCCGTATTTACAGATTTTTTTTAATAATTGAGCTCTATTTGCTATAAAAATAAATCTAAAGAAATTAAATAGTATCGCAATCAATTCTACGTTTGAGAGCATTGATTGAAGATGATACTTGCAATTGAAAATCAAATAAACTTGGATTTGATAAAGTAAACTATTCACAAAATTGAAGAAGTCTATTATTGTTGTTCAACTCGCCTTCATTTATTTGGTTTCATATGATTTTAAATAATGAGAAATAAGTATGTTATATCAAGATTCGCGAACACTTCTATGTATAACGAATATGTGCATTTATTTGAAATAAAAACAAGAGAAATATTATACTTAAAGTGATAAATTATATGATATTCGTACCATATACAAATAAATGGAGCACTTTTTCTTGGGTGAGTCAAAAGGAGAAAGAATGGGAAGAAAACTATTTGGTACCAATGTATCAAGAATAACATGTTGACGACAAAGATGAACTAATAGTTTGTTAGAAAATTCAAAATTGATTAGCTTCATAAAGTTTAAAAAAGAAAGTAAGATAGGAATTAAATAAAGGAATTCTATTCGATCAAAATAACGAAATAAAAAGAAATCTGATCAGATAAATACAACGAAAACATTATAATAGTTGTTGAGTAGAAAATTTTCAAAAACAAATGTAGATATCTGTTGATATATTATTGATAGATTGTCATTATTATAGGTTTAAGAGAATAAACTAGTTTTATTCTGATCAGAAGCAATATTGCTAGAAGATGATGTCTCAAGACCAATAAGCGTTGCTAATGTTTATTCAAATGAAGAGAATATTGATTTTTTTTTTCTATTAAAGCACATGAGTTATATTGAAGACTAGAATTACAAATACAGTACGGTTTTAAATCATTCGACACTGCTGTGCTGTATGATATATGTCAAACTTGAAAGTTGAACTCAATTGAACAAAAGTTGAAACTTAAAAGATTAAATTTCTACTTTCAAATAAACACACCCATCCTCTCGATACGAGTGCCGCGAAAATATAGACAATTGAAAGTTGAATAGTAATTGTTCAATTGAATTCAACTTTCAAGTTTGTCAATACTGAGTTTTTAACCTAAGAATGTAGATCAAACTAATGTACAATGCAAAAGTAATGATACAAATATTGATCTTTATATTTTTTTTTTCATAGACAGTGTTCTAGAAAGAAAATTTTTTTGGCAATCGATAGAAAACTTTCTGCTCTTTTGGACCGTATATGACTCATTTTTATTAGACACTCATACGTAGAACGGTATGAAAAGAAATAGAAATACTCTAAAAATACATTCGTATTTTTCGTCTACTTCACAATAACGGTACAAAATGTCAAGCAGTACATCTCTTCTTTACACACGTGTTCGAACGACAACTTTTTTATTAGTTGATAAGAAATTTTCTTCTGTTTCGAACAGTGTTTGATTTTTATTTGTCATACATTCGTAAATGAAATAAGACAAGAAAAAAGGAAAAACACTTGCGCAATAAACTTGTAATCTTTATACGAACTCGTCAAAAACATTGTATTAGACAACAGTCAATTCGATTTTTGTGAACTCATTAAAAAGATTTTGTAAAATGACAGTTTATTATAATTAACTGTCGTCTGCAAGATATTTCTGATGAATTCATATGAATCATACACTGTATAAAAGAGGAAAAAATTTCCTATCAACTGTTAAAGACAATATTCTTTTCAGAATCTATTTGTTGAAGAGATATAAGAATCGACATTTTGTGCCATTATTTTTGCATCATACGTTATTTCAACAAGTATATAATCCACTCAGAATGACTTTTTCGCACTTTTCGGACGTCAATACAGCAATACTTGAATAAAGGATTTTCTCAGCTCAAAAACTATATTGAGAATTTTTTAAAACAACTATGAATAAACAATTCATTACTCAACACCATATTTCATATCAATAGAATGTAGAAAACAAAATCTTGCTTGTCTTGAGCCGCTAAAATTTTATCGATCATTAATCAAGAAACATATTTTGTAACAGACATACAAAAAAAAATTCCAAGTTCCGACAGAAAAGTTCACTTATTGATAAAAGTTAATTTTTTATGCATTCTCCACAGTCTGTTCTTATTAGGAACACTATTTCTAATTAGAATAAGAGAAACCTTTTTATAAAGTTTAATATATTAGCCATTATAAGTGATAAAAGCTGACTCCGAAGATAAATATTCCTTAATTGATAAAGAACATATTTTGTTTTAGAAGTATATCAAAATTTTGAAGTTCGAGTTGCGAAATCGACTGATTTAGTGATTCTTTTAATTTTTCGCTTGTTGTTCTTATTAAAAACAATGCTCCTAATAAGAACAAATTCGATTATTCGGAAATCACCACTAATTAATTTTTCATCTTTTGAAATAATTGAATGATTTTTGCACCATTCAATGCAGGAAACATTTCTCTAATCAGAAACATAAAAAGATTTGTGTAATTATTTAAAATTCTTTAGTGTAAAAAAATATAACTTATCACACCTCTGAAATATCTATTCGTATTAGGAACATTGACTGTACATTGATGTACATGAATATTCCCTAGGAAAGTATGCATTTTTGCGATGCCCTTCAAAAAAAAACCAGAAGCTACTACAACCGCGCCGCGACAGTTGTTTAAAAGATCTGTCGCTGTCGTGATGAGTATCTCTGCTTGATACTTAAGTTTTTAGTTAGTACACACAATCATCATTAGATTATTTAGTTGTACAGTAAAAATTACCAGTTTTCTATTATTGAATTCTTCTGATATATTTCATGGAGATTATTTGCTGTATCGTTTGTTGTCTGTCAATAATGCTTTTCGCTCTTTCGCAGTCAAACGATTATCAAAGTTGCGTAGCTCTTTCGTTTCCATACGAAGTTTTTGTTAATGAAACAAGCAATGAAGTATGAAATATGCATGACTGTGATTTAATATTAGTGACTGACGTGACCAAGTCTTTTACGTGGCGAACACGGTGGTCACGGGACGTGACTGCGAACGTGAGTGATAGAAATTAGTTCTAGTTTGTTTGAAACTCCGTACGTAAACTATATATAGTATTGACGAAGGTCCAGTATATCAATTGTATGGATAAAAGCGGCAAGAAGATGTTGAAGTAAAAGGGAAGAAAACAAAATTATTTTAATATTAAATAACAAAATTTATCTAATCAAACGAATAATGGACAACTCAGTTGCAAGTGGAAAGATGTCGTCAAACAAAAATCTAATATAATTAATTGTTAACAAAGGCGATCCTTTTAACATCTCGAAACAAAACAAGAAGGATCATACATCTAGAGTTCTACTTTTATTTGCTCAAAATATAAATTATGATTATATTATGAGTGATTAGTATACGTCACTTATTGCATATAAAGTAGTTGCAGATACTAGATCTATGCATAAAACAAGGTCATTTGTTTTGTACAACAGTTAACCAGTTAATTGAAATACAGAATGTGTGACTATTTTAACGAATGTGTCTCTCTACGACCAAACTATAGTCACGGCGATCACTAAATCAGACTCAAATTAAAGGCCAAAAAGATTCTTTTTTTATTAGAGAAAATTCAAAAGTATGTTGCTCGATACTTCGAAGCTACATGAGTTGGTTTTGACTGCCTTACACAATTAATTTAACATTCGAAGTTAAGTCTGCACTCAAACTTTTCATGTAATAAACCATTATGTAATTCACAAGACACAATGCATGAAATGTTGCACATATTCACCATTGCTAAATTTATATCGGAAGTAGAATCAAAGTCGTTCGTTATTTGAAATACAACTAATATCTCTAGCTACAAATAATATCAATCATGATGAAAATACAATACGACAAAAACTTCTTCACATTATTAATAATTCAAAATCAAAAACTGAAATTATACATTTTTTCAAAGACAAAATAATCTATTGATCTTTCATACTGAGATATTCTTGCAATCAATACATTATCATATAAAGCACGTAACAGAACGTAATAAAAATCATAAATCTCCAGACAGAAATAATGATATATTAACCATTGTATTACCGACTTGAGTCATTTATTTAGGCGTACTGAAAATCTTGAAAATATGAAAGAGATATTTGGTGATTCCTCAGTTTTGAAAAATACTATGTCTTAAGAATTACAAGATAAAGTTGCATAAAAAATGACCAATTGTTTCTCTACAAAAAACCACATGATGAGTTTGAAATATGGTTTTATGCCTTCAAAGGACAATCAGTATAAAAAGAGACATTTGCCCTTCCGTTACGCTTATCCATCGACAGATACCTCTCTGCTGGTCCAATGAAATGCTACTTTTTTTTTACGAACTGCATAAATGTATCGATAGTTATAAGTGCATTATGAATATAATGTGGAGAAACTTCGTCTTTGTGTCTCATTAATGTGCACAGGATGAAAATGGCTATTAAATGTGTTTATTTTTCCATTTGATTTTTTCACGCTATTTATCTAAATAAAAAATCTATTATTACGTAGTTTCTTTTATTTCAGAACTATTCTACCAATTTTTGTCTTATTTTTATTTAATTTAACGTAAAAATGGTCACAGATCAATTCGGTATTATTTATGGCGCTGCACTGAGTATGTTAAAATATTTTTTTTTATGGTTATAAAGAAAAATAAATATTTTTTAAATTTTTAGTTAGTGGTGGTTTACTCGGATACTTTCGTAGTAGTAGCTTGATCTCACTTTTAATCGGTATTTAGATAAAGTAATATATGAAAATTTATTTCTTACTTTATGAATTTAGGTGTTGTTTTGGGCGCCTGGTCTGTTTACAATGCAATGCATCCTAGTCGTCAAAATAATGTTGCTAATTTAGCTGTAAATATAAGAGCAAAATTTTTTTTTTTTTTTATTACTTATATTCTTTTTAGATTGCAGCAGTTCTTGGTATTATAATGTTATTACGCTTTTTGATCGGTGGTAAAGTATTTCCGGCACTTGTTCTTGTTGCCTTATCAGCCGTGCAAGTCTATCGCAATTATCCATATTTGAAATAAGACTTACAATAAAAAAATGAACACACGACATTTATCTCTATCTATTCCTTATCTAGTCCAGCTGGTTATTTGTTTTCTTTTTTTTTACTTCTTTCTCGATTGTTGGTCATATATCCTTTTATACACGCATTTATAATAATATTCGTGTTGTCTTTGTCTTTACTAATGTTCTTGGTTTTTTTTGTGTCTATTCTTAAAACAAGCAAACTTTTTGTCGTCTTCCTATGTCATATTGTTAAATACCTAAAAACAAAATACATTTCTATATATATATATGTATCAATATATTATCGCGTAGTCTGGTATAATAAAAAAAAAAAGCATTATATTGTTCTTTTCTCCTTCTAGAATGTACATACTAATGATAAATTTTCTTTATTGGCATAATAACAACATCAAATAAAATTGAATTTCCTTATTTTGAAGATATAAAATATCACAATGTCTTTTCCACCACATATGCCAATGATGAGTCCTATGCCATTTTTTCCTCCAGTTACTCCTATGATGATACCACCTAATGTAAGTATTTTATCTCATGTAAAATAGAAATCAATTTTCTATCGGCTTTTCTTTTTGTTTTGCCTTTAGATGGCTACACCACCGCCTGGAATTCCGACATCAACGAATGTAATCCACAAAACAGGAGAAAATGAAAAGGTTTATTTATTTTTTTCGGTCGTTTGTTTTTCAATGAATCGTATTTAATTGTAGAAAAATCGTCTCCAACCAACTACAACTGTATTTGTTGGTAGTATCTCAGAAAGAGCACCCGATGTTATGATCAAACGAATGCTTCAAGTAAATAATTTTATTTATTTTTCTTTTCTATATCATTTTATTGTTATTATTATATAGCATTGTGGTAGTGTTCTCAATTGGAAACGAGTTCAAGGTGCCAATGGAAAACTTCAAGGTAATTAAAAAAACAAACAAAAAAACATTCTTTTCTATTATATGAAAATTTTTTATTTTTAGCATTTGGATTTTGTGAATATGAAAATCCTGAAGGTACACTTCGTTGTATTCGTTTACTTAATGGTTGGCAAATTCAAGATAAAAAATTAGTTGTAAGTGATTATTGATTTTTAATTTTTTTCTGTCGATCATCAAAAATTAGGCGCTTATTATTACAACCTGTGTATACATACATTGATATACATAAACACGTGAGTGCTTTACAGTGTGCTCGTGCGCATTGTATTAGAACTCCCAATTTTTTCAGTCGAAACACTTCTACTCGGTTGGGTGTCTTCCTAACTTGATTGATTGATTGGTTTCAAACACGAGTCAGAACAGCAGACAGTCATTCACCTGGTAACAATTTTTATATTCTTCTGTAAACATATTATTGATAAGACAATTTACTTTTTGTAAAGAAACGTTTTTGTTTTTTTTTTATATTTTTCTTAGTGTATAATGTCCACAAATTCCAATCTTGTTCTACTTGTAATTAAGAGGCAAGACGTTCTATGAAAAGAAATAACATTAAAAAAAAAGAGTGAGTGGTGCCTTGTATTGAGAATAAATCTATGTGTATAAAGGATATATATATATATATACACTAAAAGATGATTATGCTTTTTTTTAAAATTATAAATTATATTTTACATTGTAAAATGATAAATGAAATTAATTTATTTTGCTTTTTATTATTAAGGTCAAAGTCGATGCTAAAACAAAAGCATTACTTGATGAATATAAAAAAAAGAAACGACATGAATTAGCCAAAAAAGCTGCTAATGATACGACAGCTTTTAAATTTATTTATGAAGAAGATGATGATGATAAAAAAAAATCGAACAGTACGGATACAGATGGAAAGGTAAAAGAAATAACAAAAACAAAAACAAAAAAAGAATTTTTTTTTCTAATCATTTATGTTTTTATTTTCAAAGAAAAAATCCGGTGAAGAAGGTGAAATTGAAGAAGAAGAAGATGATTATATTGATGATGAAACACGTCGTGAAGATTTTGCAATGAAACAATCAATTGAAACAGTTATGCGTGAATATGCACGTGAAATGAATCAACGAGCATTAGAAGCAAAAGAAATGGCAGCTCGCGACGTACAATCAACAACCATACCACAACCACCGAATCCATCTATACCTTCAGTACCAATGCCTTCAAATTCAACAGTAAATCCTATACCGGATGTATCATCATCATCATCATCTAATTCAACTAATTCAATAGCACGACATAATGATCCAGCTGTTGCACTTGATGATGAAGAAGGAAAACGAAATTTAATTTCAAATGAAATACAAATGTTTCGTGATCGTTTTAAAGATGAAGATACAAAAATGCGTAATACTGAAAAAGAACGTAAAGATCGTTATGAACGTGAACGTGCATTACAACGTGAAAAACGTGCAGCGGAAGAAGCAACTGTTAGTGGAAATAATAAATCATCGACAAAATCACCATCATCACGTAATACACCACCACCACCACCACCACCATCAACATCATCTCGTGATCGTTCATCACCAAGACGTGAACATAGTAGTAGTACAAGTCGACGCGATCGTTCATCACCAAATGATGATCGTTATCGTAATTCATCATCAAGAAATAATACAAGTAATTCGGTACGTAGTCGTGCAGGTGATCGACGTAGTCCACCACCACCACCACCATCACGTTATGATCATCGTTCACCTATTCCACCATCACGTTCATATAATCGTCGTTCACGAACAAGATCACCTATATCAAAAAACCATGGTGGTATTGAAGAAGATGATGAAACTTATGAAAGAAAAAAACAAGAAAGAAGATTACGTGAAAAAGAATTTCATTATCGAGAAGTAAGTTAAATAATTAATCAATTGAAATTTATGTAATTAAATTTGAAATTATAGAAATCGATTGATTGAATTCGATTAGTTGTATTGTACCGATTTTAATGTATATATGTCTTTTTGTTTTTAGCGATTGAAAGCATGGGAACAACGTGAACGAAAAAAAGAAATCGAATATGAATCAGAAAAACAACGTGAATTAGCTCGTTTACGTGATGAAGAAAAAGAAGGCAAACGTTTATTAGCATTTCTTGAAGATTATAATGATGAAACAGATGATTCCAATTATTATAGGTAATTTTTTTTAATATTTTTAATGTTGATTATTTAGTCGAATCGGAAAAGGCATGATGAAAAAGGTTCAAATCTGCACTAAAGTGATGAACAAACAAAAAATAACTTTCGTTCTTCTGAATAAATCTGAAGAATATATTAACCTGATTAGTGCATTTAATTCATTCTTAATGAATAACAAAAAAAAAAAACTTCATTTCTTTTTTCTAGGGGTACAGCATTAGCTCGTCGTTTAAAAGATCGTGAACATGAAATTGAAATTGATAATCGTGATCGACATCGTGAAAAAGATGAAATAGAAGAATTACGTCAACAATTATTACTTCAAGATAATATTGATGATATTGAATTAGAAATAAAACGACGTTTAGAAAAAGATGAAGAAAATATTCGTAAACGTTTAATTGATCTTATACGAACAACAAATGATGAATCAAGTGAAGAATCAGATAAGGAAGAAGAAACAACGAAAAAATCTTTATCAAAAAATCGAAAAGATAATATCGATATGTCAAATAATTTATCAACTGATTTAGCTAATTCTAGTAAGAAAAATTACAGTAGTCGCAAAAAGTCTGGCTACCAAGTAAAAATACTCAAACTTTTCTCCTTTACTCTCATTGTTTGACCACAAATAGAGACTGTTGAACATTAATCGAAAGGATTTGATCAGCCATCATATGGAGAAGCTCGAAGGTTCACATAGATTTTTTCTTTAGATAAGAATATCTCAACATAGAAAACAAATCTCATGACATGAGACCCCTTCATTCGATAGTTCAGTGTTGCTTCTGTCACAAATAAAAATACCATGTCAAATGGTTTTAGTTTGCTTGTTATATTAAGTAATCTTCACATAAGAGTTGATGGGAATCGTTGAAAAGTGACTCCTGTCTTTGGCTAATTTTAATTATTTACCTTGAAAATTTCATGATCGCAGCCATCGATGAAGAAAAAATTCATGTTGACACCATCTCAGACATTAGAGGCTTCCCTTTGTCTCAAGACTACAATGGAATAGAATAGCCTAACTATGACACAATATAAACATGTGAACCTTTATTTGTTAATAAGTATTTAAATAGTGGGAAACCAGAAAAGTTTCGAAAAAGTTTTTCTCGGACCCTCATGAAAAATCAGTGTTTTTATCGTAAGTCCTGTGCAATAAGATCTATCGACTTTGGGTTACTGTATGCGGTTAAACTTTACCGAGTTCGATTTGTAATCAAAATATCAGACAAAAGGATTGAAATTCACGTACTCTTTATCGAGTAACGAGATTTCTTGTAACTACTGTATCTAAATGAATTTAATTAACAATAAAAAAAAAACATAAAAATCTATTTAAATATTTGTAGGTACAGATAGTATAAGTCATTCATCACGAACAACAATCAAAGTTGAATCTCCACAAAATGGTTTGTTACATTTCATAAATATATTTTTTTTTCTATCGGTTTTTGTTTTGTTTAGATGTAAAAGTTAGTCCTCGTCATACATCTGCACTTGGTGGTGCACCTATTACTAGTACAAAATTACCATCAAAACGAAAATTAGCTGTAAATGAAGTAAGTTTTTTGTTTTATTTATTCGATAATGAAAATTTTTATGTTTTTGTTTTTGAAATTGTAGGTTTTTCGTGATGATCAAGAAGATGATAGTACAAATTCATTACCAAAAAAATCAAAACTTCCTGCAATACCAGATCAACAAATAACAGTTTCTCAAATTCCAATAATACAAAATTCACCTAAAAATTCTTTTCCACAAGTTAAAGAGGAGCCAACAAATCGAATGTTATCATCGACAACAAAACCTACGCCACCAGTTTCTAATGTTAATACTAATACAGCTCAATCACAAGAAGAAAAACGACAAGCTGTACGTAAATTAATTGAAAGTATTCCAACAAAAAAAGAAGACTTATTTACATATACACTTGATTGGTCACTACTTGACGCTGTACGTATTTTTTTTATTGTTTTTTGTATAAATTTTACTTTCTTTTTTTTTCTTGTATTGAAGAATCTAATGGAAAAACGTATTAAACCATGGGTAACAAAAAAAATTGTTGAATATATCGGTGAAGAAGAACCAACATTAACAGATTTTATATGTTCATCAATTATGTCAAAGAAGAATGCTGATTCTATATTGGCTGATATACGTGTTGTACTTGATGACGAAGCTGAAGTATTTGTTGTTAAAATGTGGCGTTTACTTGTCTATGAAATTGAAGCTAAACGGCATGGTCTAAGCAAATAAATAATTTGTTTTTCTTTTTTCTATTGTATCATTTTTTTCGCTTAGTCTTTTTGTTGCTGTTTTTTTTCTCTCTCCGACACTTTTCTTCGTTCTCGGTGTGTGTGCGTGTGTGTAGATTCTTACACATTTTCTTCTATTTACTAAGAAACAAGAAAGAAAAAGAAACTTAGATTTACGTGCGTTTCTGTTATCCTATGTACAAAATAAAACTTATTTCAGTTAAACAAGAAATCGTACTTATATGAGTAAACTTTCTCTTTCGTTTTTTTTTAAATGGAATAGACATCATTTATGATGCATATGTATTTGTCTCTTTTTCTTTTTTCTTTTTTTTGTCTTCTTGTCTTGTCTATGATTTGTCAACACATATAACAAACAAAGAAGAAAAAAAAAGCAGAAATATTGTCATATATATATATAGGTGATTTTTATTTTTTGCATGCTTTTGCAAGTGTTCTATAATTAGCTATAATTGAATGTAAAAAAGATGTCTTTGGTATCAATACTAAACTATTGATATACAAAAGTTTTTATTTCATGTTACAAAAAAAGTTTTCTTTTAAGAATGTAATTCGAGTTCAATGTCTACTAATTTATTTTACACATTATTTTATGCTCAGAAATTCTCAAGTTTTCTATATAGAACTTTATTTTCAATTTTGAAAATAAGTTTGAGTTGAAATTAATTGATAGAAATCGCAGGTTTTTATAATAGATATCATTGGCATATAAATATAACTGTAATGTAAAATAATCATTCGATGCAACGATGGTAAATAGATAAGATAAATTTTGTAGATAATTCCTCATCGATAGTGATGAAGACTCTCATTCATCAAATTTGTTAGATCACTTACTCTGTAAAAATAAAGCGTCAAATAATAAATCCTACAAAAGGATTTATTAGATTCAGAAATTCGACATCAAACTTTCCTGAACCATTTTAAAATACATGCCAATTTCATAAATCCTTGCATGGCTATGAAGAATAACTAGATGATATTCAAGTTTCACTTGGCTGCAAAATCCAGTATGAAGTTTCGAAGGTTTTGTTGATTGAATGTCGAAAATTCAAATCCATTTTAGTCGCAAGCTTCACTTTCATCCTCACTATTGTGTTATGTGCACGCGTGTCATATTACATTCTATTGACAAAAGTTTAAAAAAAGTATTTTTTCACTAAGGATTTACAATGATTTATAATTTTCGGCATTCTATTTTCAACATTGTCACGTTGGATATTTAGCTACTTTCTCGTTTCAAATGGTAATTGTCTCATCAGTTGTATTCACAGGTGTTGTAGATACATGAAAAGAGAGTGGTAGTCAACTTTTGTTGTTATTTTCGTTTTAATTATCTTAAAGCTAAAAATAAAAACTAATTCCACAAAAACTTGTGTTTAGGTGACTTTTCGTGAGAAAGTAGAATATGAGATTGAAGGTCAAAGAACAGATGGTATAGATTCAAACATGAAATTTCATTTTCATGTTTGTACGAGTATTCTTTGACTTTCCATTCTCAAGATTTTCATACCGAAAAACACGGACTTTCGATGCATACGTTCAGAAAGAAGCAAGAAAAGAAAAAAGAACCCACAAAGAACTGCGCAAATGCGATACTGCGCACAGCATCAATAAGTCCTTCAAGTATTTATGATAATAAATAGTAAACTTTTCACGTATTTATTATCTTTATAACCATCCAATGTTATATGACAATGGCAAATATCAAAAAAGGGTTTGAAAAAAAATTTGATGTACGATTTACTATTCTACGACTTTGTTTTCACAGTGTATACTAGTCTCTTCAACTATATCAGCAAACGAAATTGTCAAAAAGAAGTTCATACTTATAATTGATTTTGCATAATACGATCGAATTGAATGATAAAACGTTAATCTTCATGAATCGAGTATTTTTTGCATAAATACATATAAAAAAGCATCACTCAAAAACCGTTGTTTTCATTCTGCATCCCAAAAATACTTTGTTTTCAATAAAAGTTTTTTCTTTTGAAGTTTTTGCACAAAAAAGCACTTACATATTGGCATAATTTCTAAAAATAGAATATTTTGTTATTGTTTGTAATTGACATTGTTCGTTTTTTTTTCAATTCTTTCGTTCCAAAAAGCTGTGTGCTACACAAACAATTGTTAGATGACGATAATAAAACAGAATCGAGCAAACAGAATAACCATCACAACAAAAAGAAAATCGAAGTTTGCTTTTTACATAGTTATTATGAGAGCATGACACCTGATATTCTTTCCTTTTCTTTTTCGTCAGTTTATTCATAATCAGTATCATAGAACTGAGTGTTTATAAAACATTCGATCTATTAATTTGTCTTCTTCTGTCATAATTTCATTCTGTTAAAGTGTCATATGTAAGAAAAGCAAATATATATAATATTCTTTATCATTCAGAATAAATAATATACGTCTTTTACACACAGCTGTCACATTGCCCTGAAGTATTATAAAAAGATAAAAGAAAAAAAAAATTTTCTTGATCATTTCGTATAACAACTCAAGAGAAAACAATGAGTGGTACTACTAACTCATCATCAACACATGACACTAGTGGTCGTGCTCATTATAAGGCAACAAAAACAGTGACAGATCCTGATGGGAAGACACATACTGAAACAATCGAAATGTTTGACGATGATGCGGTCAAGGTAAGTTTACTTTATAGTAACAGATGTTATTATTCTTATCATTTTTCAATATTTAACATTAGTTTATGCGAGATTTACGTTCCAATCGTAATGATGTACCTGATTTAGATCGATTTGGATTTCGTCCATTGATAAATCCGACAAATTTTTCTCAATTAGAACAACATAGTGAACAAAATATAAAATCATCAAGACCATCATCTTCATCAACAACAGAAATACCAAGTTCTAAAAGTTCGAATGTTAGCCAAAGTAATAATGAATTTTTACAAGAATCATTACAAATACATAATGAATTAAGACGACGTCATGGTGCTGAACCTTTACAGTTAAATGATGATCTATCAAAATTAGCTCAAACATGGGGTAAATGAAGGAAAAAAAATTATTGCAAATATTATTATGCATCTTAAATTTTTTTTTAGCTAATCATTTAGCATCGACTGGAACACTGATACATAGTAAAACAAAATATCGAAATGTTAATGTTGGTGAAAATCTTCGTTGTCAATCATGGCCAATTACAGGTTTCTTTTCTCTATATTACTCTTTTTTTTTCTTTTCTTTAAACCATATTTTTTATTTAGGTAAAGAAGCGACAGAATCATGGTATAATGAATATACTAAATATGATTATCATAATCCTTCATATCAACCTGGAACTGGTCATTTTACACAAGTTGTATGGAAAGGTTCACAAGAAGTTGGTTTTGCAAAAGCACAAGGTACATCAATGAATTTTGCTGTAGCTATGTATTATCCACCAGGAAATTATGTTGGTGATTTTGATAGAAATGTGTTGCCTCCATGTTAAAAAATCTGTCATTTTTTTGCTTTTTATTATTATGTAAATATTCATATTTATTCGGACTATTATTTAGTAAAAGAATAAATTATAAGAAAAATGAATAGAGAAAAAAGTATTAAATATAAATACATTTTCCACCAACCAGCTTGAGATAGTAGTTTCACACGATGATGTGCTTGACCAATTAGACTACTTGTAAGATTCATAATTGTTTGATATTTCTAAATAATAAAAACAATTTCATCATATCAATATGAAGTCTATTATTCAATTTAAACCGTTAAATCAGCATTTTGACGTTTAATTTCATCACTAATTTGTACTGTTATATACTTAAGTTTTTTAACTTTTGAACAAAGTTGTTCAGTTTGATTTTCAACATAAGAATTATTTGTATGTCTTGAATAAATATTCGAAAATCGTACATCAACCATTTTGTATCAATCTCAATAATAAATTGAACATATACAAATAAGATATATGATGACATTAAATGCGCCACGTCATAACTTTTTTTGTCATGATGATTCATTATTACAAAATCATTTTTATTACATAAGCTCTCTTTCTCAACTTCATATAATAGAGAATAATAACAAAAAAAAAAAACAAAAATTTAACCACACGTCTAACAACAAACAGTAGTAGTAATTAATAGTAATTAGTAATAATAGTAATAATTGCCGAAGAGAAAAAAAAAACAAGAAAACAAAATTTTGAAATATGATTATCGTTCGAACAAGTAAATCGCAACAAAAAGAAAAAGAAAAAGGGAGGAGAATGCTATACAAGAAGAGCACACAAATGAGATATCTTCATCCTTGTTTTCAAAAACAGTTATCATCACAAAAAACTTAATATGAGAGAGAGAAAAAAAGAAGAAGATGAAATTCATAAACAAAACAAAACGTCTAATTGCTATATAATTTTTTTCTTTTTATTGTCTATTATATTTCGATACGAGGAATGTCATAATGCTGACCAGCAGCATTCATTTAATCAGTGACAATATTTTACTGTTCACATAAGTAACAAAGGACGGATAATTACAACTGTCAATAGAAGATTTGTATTCATTCACAGTAGGAAAGAAACAAAGTTCGTAATTTTATTTTTTTTGTTTTATTTTATTTTATTTTCCACCACTACCACCAAATAATCTTCGTTCTTTTAATTTTGTCATACTTGATGAACGTAATCGATTTCCACTATGAGCTGGATGTTGGAATGATGTTGGTTGTTGAGCTAGAAGTCGTTCACGAATTCGATCCAAATCAGCATGTTTAAGTTCTTTTAATTTCATTTTTAAATGATCACGATCTTTACTTGATTTTATACCCATAGCCTATGATAAATAAATTAAAAATAAAATTCAATCATTTGTTTTTTTTCTTTACCTTCATTTTGGCGCTATCAAGTAATAAAAGTTTTTCACCATCAATATTTCGACTAAGAAATATTGGAATAAATGATGCCATTTCTTGAGATGTTAACCATTGAATACATTGATCGGATGTCCAATCTTTTACTTCAACAAACTTCAAAAAACAAAACATAACATAAAAAAATTTTCAAATAGTTGATGGTGGTTTTTTTTACTTCATCAGTAACAACATTATTATTTTTATTGTTTATTGAAGGATCTAAATACAGAATAAATTATCTTAGATCATATTAAACTTAATGAGAATTAAAAAAGGAAAGTTTATTATTTAGATCTCCGTTTCATGTTAAACCTTAACTGCATTATGACTCTAAGACTTGGTCACATTAGAATCTGGCATTGTCTGGCTAAGCGAACCTTATTTTAGTTTTAGAAATATATGTTTATCTATCTATATATATATATATATATATTGTGATGGAGAAAACTTAAAAATCGATACTCCGATAAAACTTACTACCTAAGGTTCATCGTAGAATCTTTTATTTTTTTCACATAGAGTAGATTGTCAAAATGAACCAATAGCAGAATCATGCGCCCAAAAGGCAAAACTATCTGTATTTGAGCATTTGCTTTCTCTTTCGTTATATTATTATGCATTTCATTTTATTGAGTGAAAATATTATTTTCATAACCAAAACTTCAGAAAAAAAGATTAAATATTTTGTGAAAAATGTTTATTTTGTATCTATCTGAATTGCGAGCTCTCATATTTTATGGATTTGTTCAATATCATAAATCTACTAGAATGGTAGATGATTATGATAACATTCTTCATGTTCAAAATAACATTTAATGTTAATGCATATTTAATCTGATAAAAAGCACTTTATTTAAATATTGTATCAGTGTACATATCTTCAATTATAATCTATAAATATCATCAAAACGATCCGTTATATCGATTCTTGAATATTTTATAAAAGAAAACAAAAATCTGCATCTACACTCACAGAAATAGTTTGAAAAAGTTTATTACCTGAGCCGTCTTCAGTGATATGTTCAGGTAATTTGTAACAAGTTTGCTTAGCATAATAAATAAACTTCCATTGAGCCTCATCTCATTTAAAAATATTCCGGCAATTTTGTCTAAAGATATGTAACGAGTTCAGCTTTCAAATTAATTTTTTATAAAACACAAAAGAGAATGAATATTTCATCTAAATTGTGGAATTCAGATTCCTCTCTTATCAATAGGTTCCTGCAACCAAATCCCATTCATATGTAAAGAACATGACTAAAACCCTCTTATTTAACGAGGGACCTATCCAACCGCTACAATCTGTTTGGGCTCGTATTTCAATAATAAGCAAGGTTCATCATTTCGATAAAAGTTGTACTAGTGTTCGTGCCTGTAAGCTTTTCTTCTCGAGTTACGGTCATTTTACTGGATTTTCAGCATATTGCCGGATATAACAGAGCGAATTGAAATGAGAAGTTTTCGCCTGAAATTATACTAAATAATTTATCTCACAGTACTTGTTATATTCTGAAAATTTCAATTCAAAAGGATAAGCTTTTCTTCAGATATGAAATACCTAAAAGATGGACTATTTTGTGAGATTTTATGAAAGTCATGTTTTTTGCAAATATATTATCTCAAAGAAGAAGCATTCTTTTGAGCTGCAACTTCTACGATATAATAAATACCATGACATATGTTCTTTGAGAAATATTTCAGACGGAAACTGCTTAGTGCAACCTTTTTCCTTATATCCTGCGATATGCTAAAAACTGAGTAAAATGATCATAACTCGCGAAGACTTAACGGCATGAATTTTTTTTTTGAACTTTCATCTAAACTATAATTCGCACTCATAAACAAAATATGAGTTCCAACACAAGATAGCAATTAGATGAATTGTCTTGTAAGAATACAATAGTTCAGTCGTTTTGCACTTGTTAATTCTATTGAGATTTGAATATCTCTATTGTCTTGCTTACAGCATAATATAATGAATCTCTTCTTAAAGTTTGATTAGTTTTAGAAGTATAATTCAATAAACTTTATTAATAATCATACTTGTAGTTTGTTGTTCTATTGATGGAATTTTTGAATTTGAATTTTTAATTTCAACATCATCATTTTGCTGATTCGAAGCTTCATCAAGTAATGGATTCGATAAACGTTTTGATGGTAAATTCCTTGGACGTGTCTTAGCTATTTGACTTTTATCCATTTGTATACTATGATTAAGTATTGGACTACGATCAACTTCAAAATCAAGTTGATTATTTAATTTATTATTTGTATTATTATTATTATTATTATAATTGTTTGAGATTTTTTCTAATGATGTTGAAGGTAGTCGAACTGACGATGTTCCTGATGTATTTCGACTTGGTGGACGTTCAGGAGCTATTAAATGTTGACCAGAACTTGTACGCGATCGAATCGGTATACGTTCAGGTATATCGGGTGGACGTATTATAACAGATTCGCTACTTGTACTTGGTAATTTAGTACTACGTGTTAAACATGAACTATTATCTATGATTCGTTCAGGATTTATCATTGAATTAGCCATAGCTTTTTCAAGTTCTTCAATCTAAAATAAATTTTTCTTATGAAAAATAAATATTAGCAAAAAAAACTAGAAATAACAAACTTTTTTTATTAATTCCAAAATTCGTTTTTGTTGTTGTTCAGTTTTGTCTACTTGTTGAGTTTGTTGTTCTCGTAATTCTGTTTCACTAAAAAAAAAAGAAAAAAAGAAATTTAATGAAGAATCATTTATCCGATATGACTATTAAAATTTTTCCTTTCCTATACGCAAAACTCCTTTTATTGTTTTCTTTTGCTTTATAGCAAACACAAAAAGCAACAAAAATAATATATGACTTATTTTTGCTAACCTTCACCTAATTACGTACATAATTTGATTCTTTTATTTCAAAGATAAATAAGAATAAAAAAAGATTATTCATTAAGGAATAGATTTTTTGTTTTTACATACCGATCTTGCAATTCTTTAATTAATTTTTTAGCTTTTAAATATTTTTCTTCAATATGTTCGAAATCTTTTTTCGTTTGTTCATAGATTTGCTTAAAACAAAAAAAAAATTTAATTCATAAAAGAATAAATCAAAAGAATAAAAAACAAACTTGATAATATTCTTTTTCTTTTTCAATATTTGCTAAAGTTTTTTCTAATGATTCATAACGTTGTTTAAGTATTTCAAATTCATATAATTGATGAGGTTCTTCTTTAGATTGTTTGTCGGTCATGGACCATATTTGCTAAAAAGAAAAATTATATTTATAATTTTAATGAATAAAACAAAAAAAAAAAAGAAATTTTTTTTCTGATTATTCAAAATACTTCATAATTCTTTTCATGTGCTTTAGCTAATTCATGATGATGATTTGTTGTTATAATATTTTCATCAAGTTTATCTTGATCAATATTATCATTTAATTCTAAATTTGAAAAACCATCGTCATTTAAATGTCGATCATTATATGTATCATGATGATGTTGTAATGCTCTTGACATTTCATTACGTTCTTGATCCATTTGTAATGATTGTTGAATAAGACGAAGAATTTCAGAATTTTCAACATCTTTTTCACGACCAATTACAAATCTTAATTATTAATTCGAAATTATGAACAATAAAAAATTAAAAATAATAACACACTCAAATAATTAAAAACCTTACCGAACTAAACCTGATGTTGCTTTAAGTACATTTGTAGCATATGTATGTGTTACACCAACAAGTGAATGATCATCGACTTCAATTATTTGATCACCTATTTGTATTCTAGAATAAAACAAAAAAATAGGCAAAGGTTATAACAGCAACGTTTCAGATTTCTTATCTGCGAAGTTACGTAGAGAGAACGAGGGAGAAAATTAATGGCGTAACCAGACGGGGAGCTCAGCATCTTTCTTCCTCATCAACTATTGAGCTCCACTTAAAAATGACCTTGACACTCTTCTATACACATGGTTAGGGGATTGAGCTCCACTATAACTTTCTTTC